GAATGTCTGGTCTGTGACATAATGTGTTAACTTTTGTAATGTTAATTATGGTGTAGACGTAATTTGTTAATATATCGTTTAGTTACCCTTCAAGAGATGATTTATGGAGGTCAAAAATACTCAAGGTCAAAAGGAAAGAAAAACACTTTTAAGACAAAAAATAAACTGAAAAGGAGAAAATAATATAACGAAAGACCAACGAAGAAGAATTTAAAAAGACAGTATAATCCAAAGTAAGAGAAGGTCCACATATGTCAGAATAAAGGCAATAAAAAAGTGCTTTCTCTAAGAAGTTCCAGAAGTTAGTATGGAAAATAGAAGGAAGTAAAATAACAGGTGGAAATTTATGTAGAAGGTTCAGATAAAGAGTGCAATGTTTATTCTGAAAAGAAACAAGATATACCAGACTAGAAATCACATTGAGGAAAAACAAGTACAAGAAATATGGATACAATTGCAATATCAGCAAAATGAAGTTTGGCCTGACATGTTATCAAGCACACTTTAATGAAATCCAAATACTTAAGAGTAATTTTTGTGGAGATTGTGAGAAAATTGGAGACCTAGAGCACATTTTCCTTGGTTGCTCAAAATATAGAGCTCAATCCAATAAAGTGTTAAGTTGAACATCAAAACCGCATATTATATTATAATGTATTTGCTCATTTTCCAGCAAGAGATCTAGCTTTTATTGTTTATCCTGGGTGAGAAGAGTGTAATTCCTGTGTAAAATCCTTTTTATCAAATTATTTTCTGAATGTGTGTGTATGCACCCTATGGTTAAAAAACTATTCTTCGTTATTCATGACACGTGGGTCGGTGTGTAACGTTCTTCGTAAGTTCTAAGTTCGAGATCCAATCGGGTTTAACTCCTGTAAACTGACTTGGATCTGATTGAACATTTCTGGAACATGATAAGCAGAATAGTAAGGTAAATATTTAATCTGAGTAAAAACAATGAAGAAAGAAAACTAAAAAAGAGAAGCTTATTTAATTGAAATAAAACAAATAGCTGCCGTCATCAGGAAGGGAGGTAAAAAGCAAATAAAAGAAATTTTGAACAAAAAAAATACTTGTAATTTTCATTCGTCATTCAATGTTTAAAAAATACCAAATATCAATAACAACTCTTGGTTTTTAACAAAAATACAATTTGTGTCTCTTCTAATCTAATAGTAAATATTTACAAAACGATATAAAGCGAGGAAAACACATTAAAATAAACTAAAAATTTAACATTTTTGTAAACGATTCAGTTCATAGTTCAAATTTGTTACCAGAAAAATTTGAATAATGATAAAACAATTATAAAAATGCGCATTTAATTGTATTTATATTTGAATGTATACAAATATAACATAAGCCACCTTAATTTAGTTATCACTTTGATACTCAATATAAGTAACTACCTAAATGTAGACGTTTTGCCACTTCACATATTTTCATTTCATACACCACTAACTGAAAATTAACCTTATAAACAACAAATTAAATCAGATATAATCGTATTTAATGGCATATCATTTTTAAATTACCAATTAAAATTTTCATTGATTAATAATTATTATGGCAATAAAACTCCATTATAAATTATTAAATAAAACAATAACAACTATCGGTTGTCTAAAGTGCTACAAAATTTATTATTCTATTACTCATAATACCAGGAAAATATATGTGAATAATTGTTTCACTTTTATCAGAGTTATTTCTATTGAAGTATCGTTTCATAGCGAAATAAACATTTTTAAAAATTTCTACATTTTATATTGTAGTGTTCATAAATCAAATGTCACTAAAATATTTAATTGGACAAATCAAGTTTTGTCATCGATATGTTCAGCAAATGGCGTGTCATTGGGTTTTTAAGAGTACAGGTCGATTTATATTATTCGAAATGAAAACGAAACGATATGACATTAGAAGCTTATCTCCACTAACGCTAATATCACGTACGCTGCACCAGTTTCTTATGTCTCTAAACCATGATTGTTGGTTGTAAGTAGACGAGAAGAATAAACAGGAATACAAACAGCTATTGCAAAGAAGATCATGAATCAAGGTTCCGAACTAATGCTAGAAATAAAGTTAGATGAGATTCGACAAGCGTTAAGAAAAATGAAAAATAACAAAGCCCCAGGAGAGCTGGAAATTGGCAACAAAGAGCACAAAATCGCAAAGAATGGAGAAGATTGAGAGAGGTCTATATCCAGCAGTGGACGTGATAAATGAAGGCTGGATGATGATGATGATAATCGTAGTCTGAGGACTAGATAAAATCACTAGGATATTCCCATACGTAAAAAGAAAGCCAGTAGTTCATACAGCAATTATTGCGCTATAGCACTAAGAACCCTCCGCAACTAAATACTCATAGGATCAGGACTGTTTTACTGCCAGACATTGTAGATGAATTGATTATAGGACACTTAATTTGACTTTGAACTGGAAAAAATGTGACATATTTTATATGAAAAGGAATTGCTGCATCACCTGATACAAATGATACAAAATTTATACAATCACAACTATGTCAGCTTTAGAGAAGGTGAAAAACGATCCGAAAGCTTTAGGATCAAAAAGAGTATGAGACTAGGAAAGGCTGAAGTAAATTTTAATAAATATACTGGGCGAATGGATAATGCAAAAAACCATTGAAGAATGGAATAGTGGCATCACTTATTCTTTTTGACAATCCGTTGCGAATGTTGGCGATCATCATGGCAATCTTATCTGCAGCAACCCGGAAAAGCTGCACATATGTATTGAACCAGATTCTAAGGCTCTTTAATGAAGATGTCCATCTTCTTCCTGGACCTCGTTTTCCAAATATTTTCATATCTCCACATATCTATATCCACATAATACAACTATTCTTGAACAGGTAGAAAATATCGAAAAACCACTACAACAGCAGGGTTGAAAAAGAATATTGTAAAACAATATCATGGCAAAGACGTCTATCAGAAATAAAGGCAGATCTCTCGCAATATACACAACAGACATTGTCGTGTCCAAAATTTACGAGAATGACAGAAGATTAAGAGATGGAAGACAATGGAACTATCAATTTATGAAATTATGGTTTTACTATATCTGTTACAGGTTACCGACTAAGAACAAGATATATATTTTTACCAATTCTATTCATACGTAGGTCACCTTACAGGTCAATTTCCTTCATTTCCTTCTCTACACCTCCTCTACAACATTTTCTTTGTGTACCTTCTCTCTTTCTTCTTCCTTTAAAGATTATTTCTAAATACTAAGCGTCCATATTTGTATTTAGTTTGTCATTCTTTGCAAGTGACCATACCGTACCATACATTTTGTCTTTATGTTATCCCATGTTTATTGTGTGTTAAATTTCCACGTTTTTTCACACCTGCGTATTATCGAGCAGCCATTTTGAAAAACTGAAGTTAGGGATGTTTAAATGTTTCCTCCAATTTGCTGTAAGATATGGAGACTTGGACGGTAAAAAACAATGCCAGGCGTTTGAGATGTCAAATCTAATGAAAGGATAAAATAACTAACCAGGAAGCATTTCAAATTATTAAAAACAAAAAACGATACTTTAATAATTATAACGAGGAAACTACATTATCTGGGACCATGCGATAAGTATATCGCATATTATCCATACATTAAATTGTAGTTGCTGTTTGTTTTATTTATTAACACTACAATAGCATATATAATATGCAAATAACGCCAAATGTCCTGGTCCACACACATTGAGAAATAAAAAGATGCCAAATGACGACTTCTGCAGTGAAAGTATTGAATGAAATTTTCATTAGGCATCTTCTGAATTCATATTAACATTACTTATTGTTAACATGATTCCATCAAACGAAGTTTAGAAATCAATAAAATTTTCATTAGTTTTTAACTGAATTAAATTTTCGCTGATTAATAACTTGTTGTTCACATGAAAATTGTTTATAATTATTAACTTGACACAAGTCCTAATTGAAAAACTCTTATGCTGCATACGTCACTATTCAATGGTAAATATTATAAAATACCTATACAACTCGGTAGGAGAAATACGTAGACAAAAAATTATTAACGATTTATAATAATAATTAAGTTATTACTTTGATACAAAGTCGTTACTTTTAGATCATAATTGACAAAGTGAATTATTGGAATTGATCAATAATTTGGTAATACTATTATGTTCTAATACCTAGGAGCATTATTTGATATCAAAAAGATTGTATCTGCATATAAACTGTCATATTCAGGTAATATGTTGATTTGCGATGTCTGAGTGTCAAATCAGGTGGCTTTAAACGTCGTTTCCTTCTAATTTCTTCAAAATTTTAGGGTCAACACTGTTCAGAAACTTAGCAAGTGCAGTTCTTCGCTTCCAAGAGTCGTAAAATCCTGTCGTACGGTAGCTTTCTATGCTAAATCGTAGTTGCTAATTTTGTGCACGACCTAATGCAAACTATTCAGATTTCAAATAGGTTAATAGAAAGAAAAGAAAAGATTTACTCACAATTAGTTGAATGGTACCTTGCACGACCAGTTTCAAGCACTACATGTGTCTGCGCATTGTCAAACCCGGATAAGGTTATTTAATCACCAAAAAAGTAATTAGAGTAGTTGTTATACTGAAAATTATCAAAACTGTTCTGCGGGGAGAAAAATTCTATATATTAACTACTTTAACAATATCCTAAAAGGTGAGATTCTGCTAGACAGTGAACATATTTCCAAATAACATTTTTCACTGAAAAATCATTCCTGAAAGTTTCCCAATCCATTCACCAATCAACCTGTACCATTAAAACGAAATAGACTTATCGAAAACAACAAAATAACTTATCCTCCAAATAAACGTAACATTTAACCTCCAAATTTGATTTCCCTTAGTCAAAAACGACTCGACCCAAACAAAAAATTATCAATTGCTAGACAGAACTTACTCACGTTCGAGTCTTTTCACAGACTACTCTACAATAGTCTCAATAGCAATAGTTAGTCGTCTATTGACGTGGTGGCATGAAGCCATGTTGTGGCAAGGGCTGGCTGAATCCCTTCGAGTAGGGAATGCCTTGAGCTGAAGCGGAGTACACTACTGGTGGGTGTCCGTACTGTTGCTGCTGTGGGTAGGAAAGGCTTTCTTGCGGTGGGTTCGAGTAAGCGTTGGAACTCAGAACTTGGGAGCTGTCCATCACTTGAGGACAGTAACGTCCTGTTGATTGGAAGTTATACTGTTGAGGATAGGCTAGTGAGCTGTACTGCATTCCTGGGAAGTTAGTAGCACTAGATGAATGACCAAAATAGTCGGTTATATATGTCACTACGGACTGTTGACCAGGAGTGGTGGCCATAAATACCGACTGCGGTCTACTACCAGCGCCTTCATTGTTAATATGTGGAGTGGACGGCTTGAAAGAGTCTTTCGCGTCTTTGGTGCCGTTTTTCTGGCCTTTGTCTTGCAACGGATTAAACTTGCTTGAGTTAACTTTATTCAAAGAATAACTATATTGATTCAGATCTAAGTTTGATGTATCGCAGGATTTTTGATCCCCGCTGTAAACTGTCTTATTTACATGTACATCTATCGTATCCAGTAAGGTATTCACTTGGTCGCTTATATTTCTCAGTTGCTTTATTAGATTAGTAACTTCAGTCGATGATAAATTTGTAGGTTAAGTTTTAAGTTTATTTGGAGGATAAGTTATTTTGTTGTTTTCGATAAGTCTATTTCGTTAAAGTGGTACATATGCAGATAAATAGTTAACTAAAATAGAGGCACAAAATATATACCATTTGGTTATGTAATACATTATTACCCTTTCAACACGTCTGAGAATTGAGACAACTGAAAAGTTAAGTCTCAGATCACAGAATGTATTTTCAAAGATAAAAGGCTGTAATCAATCGGACTAATATATGTAGCTACTTGGATGAGTACTTCAGAGTACTCTGAAGTTTATTACGTTCCAGAGACTAATTAGAAGGAAATGAAATCACTACAAACAGTGTCAGTGTATTCCCATCGATCCAGATTCAAGTCATAGACTCTCACTCTCTTTAAGAAAAAAATTATCTATCGAAGATATCAGCAGTATCAAAAGAATTGATCTCTGGTGAGGTTTTTTCCATGTTATTGATCCCTAGGTCACTTGGTATGCCTACGCGTCTGGACTCCGAGAGTAGTACAGCTTCCTACATGGTTTATAGAGATGTTCACTAAGACCCAGCTTTTTTATTATATCTTATTATTATTATAGTAGTGCTTGATATTCTTACTCTGATAATATTAGAATAGTGTAAATTTTGCTTTTTGTACGCTGGATTCTACATGTCCTTACTTTCATAAATTTTACTGCTGAGATATTGAAGCCAACAAACTCGGTTTTTGATAGTTGAGACAACATTGTAATACTCATTAATAACTTGGATATCTTTGTTATTGAAGTTGGGCTTCTTATAAAAATAGTGGTGCTATCAAGCGATCGTAAGATGCCGATAGGTGATGTCAGATCATTGTCTAAAGAAAATTATGGATTATCTTGCAGAAACAAATTTCTCTAATTTGCTATACAGAGCCTGTCTTTGTATATCCTTAAAGTTTTTCTTCGATCTGCTACTATCTGATGAACCCCAATATGGGGCGAAATATGTCATAGTTAACCGAAGTACAAACTTTTAGATAGAACGAATAGGCTTTCATGCATTCTAGAGTGTAATTTGCTGTCTTCTAGAAAACAAATTGAATATTAGAATTTTACTTGAACTAACAACAAACTGAGTATTATTTAGAGCCTTTTGTGTGTAGTCCATAAACAAAAAGCTATTAAATATGTAAAGGAAATAAAAATTTTCATAAAAATATTATTTTCTATTAGATGATAATTTCCCATACTGTATTGTCAAACTATGCTCCGGTAGGTATTATCTGTATCTAGTTTTAATTAACTAACCGTTAAGATTTAATTGTAGAGTTACTTATTGTATTCAACAGTTCAAAATTGACATTATTTGTTTACCACATAAAAGCAATTAATAGCTAAATACTAAATGTCATTTAGATGCAGAATGTAAATTATAATTCAGTATTAAGCAGCATTTCGGTGAGTAAATATGATGTTTATTTTTTTAAGGGTTAGTCTATAATAACTTACCATATGGGGTAAGGAAGAATCTAAAATAGATAAAGGCAGGTCCCATACAAAATGTACGGACCACATTGTCGCAGTCATCAGTGTACTGCTATCAGAATCGGGAGAATGACAAAAACTAAAGAGAAATAAATTATCAATTTATGAAGTCATAATATCACAATATCTTTAACAGGTAACTGACTAAGAGAAGAAGGGGAATTATGAACTGACTAATACATTTTTTGTTTCGTATTTTGAATAAACTTTGTTTAATTGGTTGACAGTTGGATTTTAATAATACACAGTGTTTAGGGCTCATATGCCACAGTCTGGAATTTTTTCTTCCTGAAGTTTCGTCTGCTGGTGCTGATATTAATTAAAGGTGATGCGACAAACATTGGAATGTTCTTCAAACTGTTCTTCCGGTCAACAAGTCAAGAGAACATTTTATTAGTTGCTGTATCGCCTTTATAGTACGAGAAATAGCGATGAACTTTACATTGAATACATTTAATTTATTCGGTGGCCCATAAAAACCCACCACAATTGGAAGGCAATTTGAATGAGTCCAGAATTTTAAATTATGAAATTGTGTACACTATTAAATTATTATAACGTAAAAAAGCCTCACGACTAGATGATATATACATATATGAGGAAACACTTAAGCCTCTTAATGGAAAAAATGTTAATATCATCGTTAAGCTTTTTAACGATATCCACGTGTGAAATTCTGTAGAGATCACCAGGTATTATGTCTAATGGGCCATTTTTTTAAAGCATTTCTTGAGAATATTCAACACATGGTAAGAAATGTTAAGAAGTCAGTGACTGGAGTCAGTTTTCAAGAATTTATCATTCATGGACTTGCAGGGAACAGAATATTTTCCCGTATATTTGACAATAATAAGATTTATTGGCAATCTGTGTTGAAATCAGGCATCACAAAAGAAAGTCACTACAGAGAGAATTCATAGATGCAGTAACAGATTCTAGTAAATGTATTTAAGTGAATGACATTTTTAATAACAACATTAGGCATGCCGATGACACAGCAATATTGGTCGATAATATCGACGAATTTTAACGTTTTCTATTCGATCTCTCCGAAGTTAATCATGATTATAGGATGAAACGATTATTCAAGTGCAAATATATACGTAGCTGGACAAGAAATAGAGCAAGTAAAGTGGTTAGATTATCTGCTAAACAATATTTGAGATGCTAAGACTAAAATAAAATGCAAAGTAGTATAAGTCAAAAACTTGGTAGGTTTCTGATCTTAAGATCTTAAGATCTTAAGCATCTTAAGATGCTTCAGTCTTAAGTTTGGCTGTTCTGTTGTATGAAATAGAAGCATGGATGTTAACGCCTAGTAGATTATTAAGAGAGAGTCCCAAATGGGAAAAAAGAGAATCTTTGGAAAATATAAAAAGTTAAAAGACTGCATACTAAATTATGAGGAGAACGATACATATTGCCACAACTGATACTTGAAGGAAAGAAAGAGGATAAGAGAAGCATGATCTCCTCACACTTTACCTGCAGGACAATCTGTGGTGAACATCTAAACAAAGATTTTTTGAGTTTTAGTTAAAAATGATTTCCAAAACCATCCCATGATTTTTAAAATGGTATGAATGTTGCTTAAACATAATTTTTTGGCAATTTTCTTAGGCTGTTGAATTTATCTATAATGCTACTGGAGTAGCTGACGTTTAGAGCTTAGTTGAAGACTATTATTGTTACGATTTTCAATCGATATGAAATTACTAGATCAAAATGTAAGGCTAGCTCCCATACTATTATATTTGCCACAGCAGACGAAACGCCAATAGAGGTAATTCCGGGCCACGGCTTATAAACACCGAAAACAATATATATCATTAAAAAATACATGATGTGAAAGCCTACACTCAGTTATAACGTTTTTTATTACATAAATGTACTAAAGGAATCCAGTGAAGTAGGCAAATATTGGTTTTAGTTGAAATTACTTTTTAAATATAATGTTTTTTCTTACAATTAGATACATTTTGTATTAAACATTCAAAAGTTTTGTTAAAAAATATATTAAAAATAATATTCTTGTTAGTTTCGCTACATTTTCATAAGGATACTTGTGTAAAAAAGGAAAATATGCGCCTTATAAAATAAAGAGTGAATACTAGAAAAAGCATATTAACATTTGGCTTCAATAAGACTTATTAGTGACTGGTATCTGTATATACAGGAAATTTTTGATAATATTTTTTGTAAACTGATCCGATATTTTACGGTAGTTCTTTAGTTCAGGATATCCCAAAACCTTTGCCATAATATATAAAAATTTAAATTTAACAAAAACATTTAACAGTTCAATAAGAAATAAGTAACAAAATCATAGTGGTATTAAAGTAATAAAGTAAATATCTAACTAATTAAATTGCTTATTATACCACCTCAATAAAATCCATACGTGGTAAATATTTTGAGAACGCCTGTACTATAAGGATTCGTGTTTCAGGATTACATAACTATCATCTAACCTATCTAATTTCATTCCTATTCTACTTGCGTTTGTACAAGTCAAACATAGAAACCGCTTGCATTTCTTTATAAATATAAATTCTTATATTCTATATTAATTTTTTGATGTGTTTAACAGTCCTAGCGCGAAATACAGGTAACTCAAGTAAACTGAATTGATCCATAGCTGTAGAGCACACTGTACGAACTCCAAAGGTCACAAAGGTCACCAGATAGATCTATGGGGACTGGATCATACTAGGAGCCAATCTTCTTCTCCCAGCTGCCAAAAAGACGTAAAAATTACAGATTTCATGCAAAGTTGTGAAACCAGGTGAGCTAGGCGTGTACTAGGCTCTGCCTAGGCAGTGCAGTAATTTTTCATCACTCATACAGCTCTAGTCCTCGCCAGCTCTACTTAAAATGGATGGACTTAGGACTTCTACAGTTGTGTGTTCATTGAAACTACTTGAAATTTGGCACAATTACTGATCCGCGAATATTTCTTCTACTGATAATGTTATCTTTCTTGTTGGAATTTTTTTAAAATATCACTAGATCGGTGTGTTGACAATTGTGTCTTTTTCATTGTGCCTGAAAGCAGAAAATAAAACGATTTTTAAGCAGTCATTTTACAGCTAGTTTCAACAATAAACAAAGCTTATTAACACGATCAATGCGGAGGGCATACGAGTACGTGCGTCACTTAGAGCCTTAAGATATGCCTCCGGCATGCATGCTTGCAATTGCGTGTAGTTATTTGAATGATATGGGTCTGTTACTGATACCACTTTGAATCATTTAAATGTAGTAGTTCGGAAGTAAAGAAGTATTAGTTTGCAATAAC